TCCTTCTCCCTCCTCTTCCCTCCCTCCTCCTCCCTCCTCTTCCCTCCCTCCTTCTCCCTCGTCTTCCCTCCCTCCTTCTCCCTCCTCTTCCCTCCTTACCCCTCCTCTTCCCTCTTTCCTCCTCCTCCCTCCTCTTTCCTCCTCTCTTGTCCTCCTCTTCCCTCGCCTTCCTTCTTCTCCCTCCTCCTCTCTTTCTCTCTCCTCCCCCTCCCCCTCCTCCCTTCTGTCTCCTCATCTTTACTCCCCTTCCCAGCACCAGGCCCAGGGCTAGTCCTTCGGGGAGCAAGTGAGGCCGTGGTGCCTGCCCTTTCGGAACCCTGTCCTGGAGTACGGGGAGGTGTCACTGGCACGTGGGATCTTGTCCTTGTACTGTTGACGATTCCGTGGTTGAGGCCTGCAGCACCCAGGGCGAGAGCGTGGCCCATGGCCAAGGTGGCTGGTCTGCTGCCTGCACTTCCTCATGTGAAAGGAGGTTTGCAGGAGACCTGCTCTGCCCGTCATGGCCTTTTCCTGCAGGCAGGCGTCTGGCCTGGGGTGCTGGCAGGGAGCAGGGGCTGCCGCTCGAGGGCCAGCCCTATGGCCCTGATCTCCTTGGAGCCGGCCCTGTCCCCCACATGCAGGGGTCTGGGCGAGGCCCAGGGCTGCGTTCCTGGGAGAATGCTGACCCTGCGCTTCTCTGGCTGGTCATGGTGTCACTGGGGAGGCTGGGCGGGCGCATCAGTCTATGTCTGGCATGCAGGGGCCCTCCCTGAGATATCTGCTCTCACTACTCGCAAAACATCCTTCTTGCTCCTGGATTGAACTTTTATGCCTCACAGCCCTAACCCATCATTTTTCAAAGCTTCCTATAATAATTTGAAAATGTGTTGTAAAAATTACATAATTCACGGCCGCTTGCAACAAATAACTGGCCAGTGCTGAAGCGAGTCGGACCAGGTGCCCCTGCAGCAAGTGTGCGCCAGCTGTAACCCGGGCAGGCCTGGCCCTGCAGCAAGTGTGCGCCAGCTGTAACCCGGGCAGGCCTGGCCCTGCAGC